AAATAAAATTTTAAACTTTAAATTTGTTAATGATCGTCATTTAAAATTGACCAATCACAGAGAAAGCCCGCTATGCTAATTTCGGCTATTACTACTAAAAGAGGTAGTTTCCATCGCAGATTAAAAAAATATAAATTGCGATCTTCACCTAAAAAGATATTAATTAATACGACGACGGAACAACTATGGTGCAAGTCACTTAGTCGCTGAACTTTTTATTGGCTGTGTAGATTCTATATCCTCTCCAAAAATGGAAATGTATGACCCAAAAAACAAATCATAGAATAAAAGCTAAGACCTTTCTCTACAATTCTATGATTTCATTTTGTTGATATGTCATGTTACCATAGAGGAGTGACACATCAAAGTTCTCAAAGTTTCACGAGTTTACTATGTTAACCCCCAAAAATTGCGTGTTACACGCAATTTTTTTATATTAAAAATGAACGAATTGGATGAATTGAAATTTTTGAAATTTTGTATGGCCGATCTTTTGTCACGTGATAATAATAATGAGTGGAAAAAAGAGAACGCAATCACTTTGGTCAAGATAATAGCCTATTTGAAACATATAAATAGGACAATTGTTCCATATTTTTTTGTAATACCAATGTAGAAACATTCTCTCGGGCCATTCTAAATTTTCATAGATATTCTTTGGTGTCATATACATATTCATTTGGAGCATCAAAATTAGCATTGGATGCAAAGCATTCATGATTAATGATGCTATTTTTAATAAAATAACTATTTAATGGCCAAAAAACATATAATGATAAATAGACCAAAAAATTGTAAGGGTTGAGCAAGCACTGTTCGAAATTCAATCGGCGGAATCGGCGCGCACTAACCAAATACGGAAATTAACCGCAGATAATTTCTAAAATTAGATTAGTTTATATAAAGGCGCAGTCGAATTTCGAACACTGTGAGCAAGTATTTGTGATTTGATTTTTACAATGTAATAATGATATACACATGTTTATATGATTTGGATAAAATTCTG